CCAGGGAAGGAGATGTGGGTTAGCTATGGGTTCAAGCCAGGTGATCAGCCAGACGTGAACCCTTGGAATTGGCCATGAGTCCTGAAGACCCTGGGAGTTGGTGGGGGGCAGGGAGCGGTTAGTTGCTTTGGCCTGGCAGGCTGGCAGGTGGCCGGTGGTCAGCAGAGTTTCTGTTTATGTCCCTACATGTTGTGTCCCCGCCCACAGCCTTCCAGTGGCCTCTGTCCCCCTAGAACAAATCCACATCCCTAACTTGGTCTTAAGGCCTGTGTGACCTGCTCACTGCCCACCTGTCTGTCCCAGCCCATGCCCTCCTACCACCCCCTCTTGTTGGTCCTCAACAAACCAAGCAGGTTCCTGCCACAGGGCCTTTGCACGGGATGCTGTGACCTCTGCCTAGAATGCTCCATCCTGATCTTCTCATCATTGGCTCATTTTCTTTTTTTTTTTTAATGAAATAGCTCTTTTTATTTATTTATTTTTAATTAAATAAAGCCCATTGTGGTGTGCGGGCTTCTCATTGCGGTGGCTTCTCTTGTTGCAGAGCATGGGCTCTAGGTGCGTGGGCTTCAGTAGTTGCGGTGTGTGGCCTCAGTAGTTGTGGCATGCAAGCTCTAGGGTGCGTGGGCTTCAGTAGTTGTGGCGCGCGGGCTTAGCTGCTCCGGGGCATGTGGGATCTTCCCGGACCAGGGCTTGAACCCATGTCCCCTGCGCTGGCAGGTGGATTCTTAACCACTGCACCACCAGGGAAGCCCCGCACTGGCTCCTTTTCAAACAGGCCTTCCTGACAACCCCCGATTCCTGACCTGGAAGAACGCACACTTACTTGTCACTTGTTTATTGCTCCCTGAAGAGACTATGTGTCCCATGAGGGCATCGTGTTAGCGCTGCGTCCCCGTGCCGCGCCCAGTGCCTGGCACAGAATATCTGTTGCGTGAACGAATGAATATTTCCTCAAGTGGCCCTGTGAGTTGGCTGTTACCCAGAGGAGGCAGCTGAGGCTCCAAGATGCTAAAGAGCTTGCTCAAGGTCATATGGCAGATGAGGCAACGGGGGGCGGGGGCTGAGCAGAGCAGACCCCCAGCTCTGCTGGTCTCCAGGTCCTTCAGGATTTTCAGGGCAGGACATGCGCCCCCTGCCCCCGCCGCCCCCTACACTCACACTCACCTGCTTAGCTCTACCAAGCAGATATGAGCTCCAGGTGTCTAGACCAGCCTTGTCCAGTAGAAACATCATTAAAGCCACATATGGAATTTAAAATTTTCTAGTAAACACATTAAACAAAGGAAAAACAAACGGGTGAAATTAATTACATACAGTTTACTGAACTCAATATGTCAAAATCTTATTATTTTAACAGGTAATTAATGTAAAAATTATTAACGAGAAATTTTACACTCTTCTCTTTCATACCAAGTCCTGGAGGCTGTGTGTGTTTTACACTAACAACAGCATCATCACAGCTCAGACCGGCCATGTTTCAAATGCCCAGTGGCCTTGCGTGGCTAGTGGCTCCTGTCCTGGACAGTCCAGATCTGGCGTCGGTTCCTGAAGCCCCCCCCAGTGCCCCTTCCCTTAGGTCTTTATTCACAAAATAGCCACAAAACGATTGCGGCTCATATGCTATTTAAAACTTCATTGCTGTTTGTGTATTTAAAAAGGAAAATAAAAATATTTAATAGAGAGTTAAAATCAACATTGAGAATGCCCTCCTGGGCTGCTGGCTGCCTCATCTCCCTTTCTGGGGAGGCTGGACTGGAAAGGCCTGATCCCGAGCCGGGGCCTGAGATGGCGACTTAATTGACACCTGCCCGGCACTTTTGATCTTCAAGGAGAGGTGCCCACTCAGCTGAGGCTGCTCCTGGATTAATTGCCCTGAACCAAGAAATCCTTGCCCAGAGATAAAGGGAAATGTGCTGTTTCGTCATTACAAATTGCTCTGAAATCTGCTCTGGCACCAGGCAGAGGCCTGGGTCTGAACGCCCAGCTGGCCCCCACCTGCACCACCCAGACGAAAGCAGCTGGGCGGCTGTGCCCTTGCCTCAGGGCACCAGGCCCTGCACGTGTGCGCAAGGCTGCTGCCTTCGTGGGCAGGAGGCTCAATGGCGGGGGGGCAGCCGTGCATGGTAAGGTTATCGGCCCCCCCCCCTTTTCAGATGAGAGAACAGACTCAAGGCAGTGCAGGGACAAACCACCCCAAAGCCAAGGTCAAGGGGCAGAGGGCGGCTAGAGCACCTTGGGGCTGGGGATCAGGTGGACGTGGGCTGAAGTGCTGACGCCTTCACTGTCAGGTGGCCACATCACCCGGCATGCCTGTCTGAGAAGTTCAGGACAAGCCGGCCTGAGGGTCCCCTCTGGAGCACGGGGAGAGCCCGTCCAGAGCAGCCACGGCCCAGGAGCGACCGCCTCAGATAGCGTTCTGCGGCTGTGGGCAAATGCCTGACTTCCTGGTATCTGTCAAATGGGAGGTGGGACAGCTCTCCACTTCCAGGGGTCACTCAGGGACCGAGGTGCCCAGTAGATATTAGTCATGACTCCCACTGTGAAAAAAATGATGAGAGCAATAATGGAGCGCCGACTGGTGCTAGATCCCAGGCAGGCACTGCACAGGGCAGAGCGGGAGTGGGGTGAGGGGGGCGTGTAGGGTGAAATGCTGGCTGCGCACCACCAAGTGCTGGGCCGGCTGACAGGTCCTTACTGAAGCCCCCCGCCCACCACCTCTGAGGAACGGCCAAGGCCCTTCCCTCTCCCCCCAGGGTGCGGGGGCCATGGGCGGTGCCGGAGGGAACCCAGCGAGGGGCGGACGGCCAGACAGTCACCCCAGCTGCGCCGGGAGCCCCGCTTTGCGCCTATTCGGAGCACCTGACTCACCTTAATTATAGGTCCGCGGCACGTCGGGGCGCGCCGGGGACGCCCGAGATAGTCCGGAAGCATCGGCTCCGGGGGCGACCGGACATCCCGGGCAGCCAGGTGCGCCTTCACCGCCCACCGGAACCTCCCCACCCCGACCCGCGGAGCTCCCCGCAGCGCCCCCTTCTTCCGCCAGGGGCCCTTTGGCTGGCCTGGGGGCGCCCGCAGCCTGCCCGGGTCACGTGTCCCGGGTCTGGGGTCCGAATTGTGTGTGTGTGTGTGTGTGTGTGTGTGTGTGTGTGTGTGGCGGGGGCGGGGAGGGGGTCGCACGCGGGGCGGGGAACTGTCCGGGGGTCCGAGCCGGCCTCCCGCCCTGGGCGGGGATGCCCCGCGGAGCCTGCAGCGCCGCGCCCACGCGCTCAGCACAGCCGCCCACGCCTCCTCCGACTCCAATGTACATTTAGCCTCTTTATCAAATGTTTGCAGTGAACCGTGCGAACCGCCTAATAGCGGCTGGAAGTGAAACTCGATTCCCGGACAGAAAGGAGCATGTGACCGCGCCTGAGCTGCAAGGATCGCCGACAGGGGCAGGTGCTGGAGCCCCCAAGCGCCCGGCCTCCGGAGTGAGGTCCCCTCTCCCGCCGAGCATCCGAAACCGCCTTCCCACTTAGCCCCCTTCTCCAGAGATGAGGACGCCAGAGTCTGAAACGGGGAGGGGTGTCGGGGAGAGGTGCCAGGGCCGGGGAGTCCACGCGTGCGTGGGTTCTCATCCAAGTTGGTGACCTCTTGGTCAAGACAGTCCAAGGTCTAGGAAACAGCTTCTAGGGATCTATTTCTGCCAGTTTCTTCCGAGGATCCGGGGGGAGGGTGGGGCGGGCTGGGTTGGGGGGGTCCCTGTCCCACCCCAGGGCAGGCCTTGGTGCGCCAATGCGCGTCGTGCCCCGTCTCCCCCCAAAGCGGCTGTCGCGCGGCTGCACAAGTTTGTGCCACCCTCGCGCAGCCGCTGTTGTCGTGGTCGCTATGACGACGCGCCGCGGTTTTATTTTTAATATCGGCCAGCGATTAGAAGGATGCCTGCGCCGCCCCCCCGCAGATCTCCAGTCCCGGTGGTGGATGCACCCAGGCCTGCCCCTCTCCCCGCCTAGCTTTGGCTGGAGCTCCCGTAGAAGGCGCCCCCCACCCCCGTTTCCGCGTTCCCAGATCTCTCCTCCGCCCCAAACTCGAACTGAGAGCCCCTGAATTGCCAGGCCAGGATGGGGCACAGAGGGAATCACCCATCGAGCTTTGCTCAAAGGTGGCGGGACACCCAGGAACCAGCGAGCCTCTGTGCAGAGGTTAGAGCCGGAAGGGCCCCTGCCCCCACCACCCCCTGCAATACAAGGTGACCTTTCCTCTTTCATTCCCACACCCACTATCAAACCGAGTCCTTTCACCCCAAAGAAGTGTCCTCGGGTCCCCTCTGCCTGCGAGGAATCCGAGGCTCAACCAGAGGTGCAGCAGTCAGCAATCAGGATGAGTGAGCCACGGAGGGCTCTGCTCGGGATGCAGCCTGAGTCCTGGCAGTGTGCTTTTGGCGGCCGTCCAGAAACCGTCCAGTGGTCTCCCTCCGAAGCAATGGAGGTCCACCTGGGTGGACAAGGGCTGGCTCTAACGTGCTTTTAAACGGTTCCAAGGTTTCCCTAGTTCTGCCTCGGTCATCCTTCATCCTGACCCATGAAAGCGCGCTTGAGGGGGGGAGGTCGCAGGTGGGGCTACGGTAGACAAGGCAGGTGCGTTGGGGGGCTGCAGGTGTGTGGAGGCCAGTGGAAGAGCGCTGGTAGCCCCGGCCCACTGGGAATCGCAGGAGGGGCCCACCCCTCCCCCCAGGAATTTGGGGGAAGGCGAGCGCCCCCCAAGCGCCCACTGGACTCCGCCTTTGAAATGCCAGAGCCGGCCGAGCCGAGGATGAAAGACCGCCTGCGGGGCTGCGCCTTTACTGCCTTTGGCAGGAGGGCGGCCGCGGCGGGCAAGGGCCTAATTCACAGGATGGGGGCCTGGGGGTGGAGGGCTAGGGCAGGCGGAATTCTCCTTCGGCCGCCCACCGCTCCGCAGTCTCCTCGCCTCTAACGGCCTCGCCGTCTAGGTTCGGGGTCGCTTGGCACATCACCCCTCTAGCCCTGATACCGGGGCTCGTCCGCCCCCTCGAGGGACCCGCCGCCGGGGTGCGATCCCGCCAGGTCTAGGCAGGCGGAATCTACCCAGCCCGGCGCATCGCCCTTTGGTGGCGGGGGAGCCGTCCGGCCCAGTTCAGGCCTCGCCTCCCTCGCGTCTCTCCCCCGCATCGCTCTGTGCGGCGCCGCGGCCGGAGGTGGCGCTCTGTGCGCCCAGCGGATCCCGGGGGCCTCATGAGCGGCTCTTTTCTTTTCCTTGCCTTCCAACCCCTCGAGTTCCCGGCTCAGGCCGCCGCCCGGCTTTCCACGAGGCAGCGGGGACTTGGAGGATGAGGGGTCCCAGGGTGGGGACGAGGCACGCTGCAGCCCCCTCCTCCGACCTGGGCGCTCTCCCCTCGTGGACTGTGGGCGGAGGCTCCTCAGTCAGACGCCCCAGTCATCGGATTCTGGGCGGGGGCGCGTGGCAGCCGCCAGGTGAGTGCCCCAGACGCACCCCTAAACCCGCCCCACCTCTCACCAGAGACTCACTCCCCCTCCTTTTATGGAGAGGGGGAGGCAGGGGCCCATGATCCAAACCGTGGAAAGAAGCCGGAGAGCCGGGGCGGGGGGCGGGAGGCGGGGGCCGGCTCGCTTTTGCCCTTTTTGGCGTAGCAGTTCTGGGCGCTGCCCTCTGCCGCCGCTGGGGCCCGAGAGAGGCGAGCCGGCGACGGCGGCCTCCTCCCCTCCCCGTCCGGTGCTGCAGGATTGCAGCTGGCACCGGAGGGTGGGCAAGCTCGAGGGAGGGGTGCGCGGGGAGCCCCGGCGGCTGTGCTCGGGGCCGGGAGCGGGGCCTTGATGGATTTTACTGCCTGCGTGAGCGCGTGTGTGTGCTCACTGCGGCGGCGGCGGCGGCGGCGGCGGCGGCGGCGGCGGCGGCGGCGGCGGCTGCTGCTGCTGCGGAGGCGGCGGCGGCTGCTGCTGCGGGGGCTGCTGCGGAGGCGGCGGCGGGGCCTGCTGGGGAGGCTGCATTAACGGGTGCCTGGATCCTACTGCAGGCTCCAGACCCACGGGCATCTTGCGGGTCCCGCCGAACCTCTCGAAGAACACTCCGTGCTGCTGCTGCTGCGGG